CAGCAGGAGTTTGACTTCGAGCGGGCAGGCGGTCGAGTCAAAAGACTGATCGCAAGGTGTCTCTGAAATGAGAGGGATCGCAAACAATCGTAGTGCATATCGTGTTCGGAAGAAGTGCGGACCCACATCGTGTTTGAAAAGTGGCGTGATGTTTCACACAAAGGGAATTGTCAAGTCCAGTTGGTGGCTCGGACAGCTTGAGGTAACAGCTGGTCTCGGCCCACGAATGCATGTGCGGATGGCGGACGCAAGTGTGTCCTTTATTTGAATTGTCGTCAATTGCGAACCGATTGACTGCGGCATGACATCGGAAAGTTCCGGCTTCAAGTCTTACGTTTCTCCCACTTCCTACCAACCTGCCACATTCAAGGCTTTGGAGATCTCGGTCCGTCAGCCATCTTTGCCAAGTACGACATTTATCTTGTGGCTCAGAGCATGACAAACCGGCACACCGCATGCTTTGCTTTGTTCCTCCTTTTTCACTGTACAATTCTGCTGAGATCTCTTCCCGTTGTCCCTCCGGAGTCACTCGGCCACCGTCGCTCCGATTGGATGCCGCCAGTCTTGAGCATTTTTCAATCGGACACTCACGACTAACTGACGGTACGCTTTGCTAATTGCAGTGAAAGGCTTCGAAGCGGCACATTCTGAAAGTTGCTCCAACCTTCTATGAACATGCCAAAAGGTCTTGCTGATAACTCCACATGTGATCAGTCGTCCGGTCACCACAACTGGCAACCCTAATGAAAATGAGACACTTGCCCTGCCGACATTTGCCCTTTTCTATTTAACCTGGCCACGAAAATAATATTCAGTGACTGGCCTATTTGGTTGTGAGGGGCCCATCGAATGGAAAAAAAAAATTGAAACGGTTCCCTTCCAAGTCAGAGATCTTCTCACAGTGAAACTACTGCATCACGACATGATGCTGGCACACTCTCAGAAAAGTTTGAGGACCCAAGTAGGCGGTGGGAAGTCCACAACTGTTTCTGTCCACTCCTCCGAAATTGAGGAGGAGTGAAAGTGAAAGGCCAACACCGGCGGATGCTTCGTCCACCCAGATTAGATTGCGTTTCAAACCGATATTTATCAGCAAAATGACTCGGAGGTGCTTTTCAGCGGGGCTCCGAGCGTCACCTCAATTGTGTGCTTTCCTCGCTTGATTCATCCGCTGTAATCGCCAAATCACTCCAAGTGAATGTCTACCATCTCGGGTTACTGAATAGAGGCAGCGTTGACTTTGAAGAGTAGACCGCCGGGTCTCCTCGACTCCTACCGTAGCTCATCCATCCCAGCACATGATCCGGACCTCTCTCGAGTCCTCTCTTGCTGATAGCCAAAGGTGAAGACCCTCAGCAACCTGAAACGGGGCCCTTGGCGGCCAGCAGTCCATCGGGAGAAAAAACACTGTTGAGGAAGGAGAGACATTGGCACAATGCACTCAGTCTATTTCTAATGAAGGCGCCCACTTGATGTAGCAGGAGCTTTGACGGATGTGCCCAGGCAAGGCGTGGTCAGGGTGTGGCAGTCACAAGGAGAAAATGGCCATGTGAGATGGGAGTCCTCCAACTTGAAAGAGAATGAGAGGATGGGCCTACAAATAAGGCCGGCTGTGCTCACGCCCACCAGAGCGCTGTCTGCCTTTTTTTTTTTCTTTTTTTTTTTTTAAATATGCTGTCATGCGAACTTCAATCAAATCAAAAGCACCCAGTTTGACACACCGTCACACAGATTTACGGCGCGCGATGTGCCCGCATTTGCACCAGTCACGAAGAGAGGGCCTCGCCCACACCAAGCCTGCAACTGCACTGTTCCAAAAGTAGAGCTGAGGTGACGCCGGTGAAGCAAGCGCGACACAAGCAGTCAACATGAGCTGGGGAATGTCTGCTAGAAGTTCAGAGGTTAGAAAGAAGCATGCCTTGGCGGGGACAGAGGGACATTGCCACCTGGTCATCCGGGTTAATTATAAATGAGGCGAGCTGCAAGGGGGGAAGATGAGCTGGACAGCTGCCTCTTCACACTCGCATTTTAAAAACACATGCACGCACACACGCGCACTCCAAAGCTACAAATCACGTGCAATGTCCACTCCACTGAGCACTGGATCCCAAAGGCCCAACGTGGCTGAAAAGTCCTTCAAAGCAGCCAGGTGGAAGGAGGCAAAAGTTTAGCGCAACAGCCACTCAAATCTTTTGAATTGGGTTTTCTTTGAGCTTCCAACGGAAGCAGAGTAGAAAGTTTCTTCCTTGGCTTGGTCTGCCCTCATTCTTCAGCGTTTTCTCTCTCTCTCGATTGATGAAGAAAGAAAGTTTAACTTTGCAGGCCTTTGGTAAATTATGCCGTACGCCACAAATTGCACCTCTCAGCAGTTGCGACATGGTTATTTTGCAAGTCAGCGTTGACTTTTTTTTGTTTTTTTTTTGTCTTGGCTTCAGCGCGGTCGTAATGAAACAACATGTTCACGACTGATTGCGCTAATTCAAACAGCCATTTGTCTCTCCTTCGCAACACCGCTGGGACCGTGTCCTGAAAGCGAGTGCTCTATGGAATGTCAGCTTTTTTCCCTGCACACGCCCGAAAAAGTTGCAGGCCCATTGGCATCCGTCGAGAGCAGAAAACAAAGTCACAGAAGTTTACAAACGGCAAAGGTAAAAGGGGGCAAACAGCATGTGAAGCAAGATGTCGAATCCAATTCGATTCCCAGAAGGTGGGAGGGCGAAAAATTGGATGAGTCCGCGCTCGGTGCGTGCGTGTCGGTCATATTCAGCGCTGCCATTCGGACGGGATCAAATGTCACCGGCGGAGTGGCGATGGACGTAAAATGATGACGCGGGCTGATTATTTTGCGCTGATCCTGCCTAAGACTCGGCAGACTGTGGAGTCGCCGCGGCCGGCGACGTCAAATACTTCTCAGGTTTCCCTTCCAGATAGGACGGATCAGAACAGAAGGCACTTGAGCTTTTGAGGAAGCAGAGTCCAGAAGACAATGCTGACGGGAGGAAAACAGTTTGGCGAAAGGATGTCCTTGAATGGACTTTGAAGTACCCGCTGGCTGGAAAAGAGGAAATTGGATGCTGGGACAAGCGATGGCTTTTCCATTCGTAAAGCGGTAAAAGTCCACATGTTGTCGTCCACGAAGTGAAATCTTCTTCTTTCATAAAATGATGATGTCGGGCTAAGCAAACACTGACACGCGCACAACATTTATCTGAGCAATCACACAGACCGATCGTTTGCGATTGATGACCAAACTTCTTAAGCCACTCGTATTTGAATTCGTCATGTGGGCGTGTGACGGCGCCACAGGTGGCGCAGCACGAGTGTAATCCGCCGATGGGCCGCCGTTCTCCCTTCCAGCTACCGCTCATGACCGACAGCTCGACTCTCAATAATTCATCCGGCCCGGGCTGGGTGAAGGTCAGGCGATCTTCCGTGCGGGGTGCTGAGAAGAGGTGCAACGCTCATCAAATATTCATTCACAGGCTCTCACAATAGCCAATCTCTTCCGCTAAACGGCACGCAATGGCCACCGGATTCTTTAACGGGATGCTCCCGACGCGAATGGATCAAAGTGCAAGCGTGGCGGCAAGAAGGGTCCGCACATGAGATAAATACCGAAGTGTCACGGCGCCATTCGCATCTGTCACTCACCCAGTGTCGTCGGAGCCCAACCGGTTCAGGGTGTCCCCCGCCTACGGCCCGAAGACAGCTGGGATAGGCTCCAGCACCCCCCCCCCCGACCCTTGTGAGGATAAAGCGGATCAGAAAATGGATGAATGAATGAATGAATGGTCCATTTCTTAGTCGTTTACTGTGCAATTTTATAATCACGTCTCGATTTGAATAAAACGGAATGAAAAAAAATGTGAATAAAATGTTGAATGACTCTCGCTGTCTTTGTTGTCGGTCGCGGCGCTTTCAAACGGGCCATTTCGAAGCAATGACAGCAACGGTTGCCGATGGCGCCGATGTCCTTGTCTCAACGGGTCGGCGACACCCCAAAAAGGGTTGGGGAGCGCGGCCGTATTTGATGAATAGGCTGCTCGCGAAAAGCCATCGGAGAGATCACGGAAAGTGAGAGCGTTCGCATGCCGTTGAGCTGAAAATGATCCAGTTGAAACGCTTCGCTAAGGCAACAAAGTTCGTGAGTGCAGCGGTCAGACCGATTGTTTCAAACGTTCATGTTGGCTGGACAGCAGATGGCCTCTCACTGTCGAAGGAAGGTCCCATCTGGAGGGGGAAAAAAATCTGTCTCCATCTGCAAAAATGTTCAGGGGCGGCTCGGCTTGAAATGCTGAAGGGTTTGCATCGGGAGAGACCCCGTCGAAGCTATTTGGAAGACGACGAGTACTTGCCATCGTCTGTCTTTGGTGCCATCACCTTATTTGAATCCACCGTGGGAGAGAGCTTTGTTGTTTCATGTGTTGCCGTAACGACCGGGAGTCGTGACCAACCATTTCCTTTGACGGTGACATTTTGACCAAGGGCAGCGTTTCCTTTCACCCGCCGGGAGATCTCCGAGCACGACGACGAGACGGCTTTTTCTGGAGCGGAGACTCCTTGCGACCGGCTACAAGCTGCAAAGTCACATCTTTCGGCGAGAAATGTCGCTAAGTATTTTCAAGAAAAGTAGATGCTCCCGGCAGGGTTAATATTTGGAAAGCTCAGGGTCAATTGGGGCTTAGAGGTCAGCAAATGTGATCCGTCTTTGTCAAGTGTGGCAATGTGAAGCCCTTTGAGACTTGTTTTGTGATCAAGCGCCACGTCAATACATTTGACGTGAGCATTTCAATTTTCAACCGGCAGTCACCAAACGCTTTGATGTCTTTCAGATGTCATCCGATCAGGTTTGGCTGAAAATGGAGGAAATGCATGTTTTTGTGTCGACACGGGGGGGAAAAAAAGGATTTCGTTTTTGTTCATCCACTGCACACAATCGAGTCGTCTGGATTCAGATTCTTTTTTTCCAAGTTGATGTCTAGTCTGCTTAAAAAAACAGATCAGGTCCAGATGATTTTTATTTCATGCAGCCATTTGGCAAAATGATGTTGAATCCATTTTTTTCAGCGCATGAATTTACTTGTCAAACAGTCGCACATGCTAAAATCGTCTGGAGACGTCGACTTGAAAAAGTGCATGTGATTTTATTTTGAAATCAAACGGAGTGAATTCAACGCAGCGTTTTTTTTTCTCGGAGACGCGAGGCTTGTTTCTTCATTTCACCGATGGCACATCTTGGCGGTGCCGTGTGCTCGCAGAGCCCTTCGATGGCGACATTTGCTTCGTGAGCGCTGTGAATCTCTCGACAAGCTCTCTTCATGTGTCGACAAATGACCGTTGGGGATCTACGGTCCACGTGAGCAGCTCTGTCAGATGGAGCCGCAGGTGTTGGAGCTGCGCGAGATGTTATTGAACCAAGGAGGCTTCTTCTCCTACAGGCCCCTCTGCGGAGCGACTCAAAGCCAAGGGGTCAAAGGCCGCAGTGGGCGGCAATGAAAGCCATTTGTTTGGTTGTCGCGGCTCAACAGGTGAGCGCCGGCTTCTCAAAACGTCTGAAAAAAATAAAAGACAAATAACCGCATAGGAATGTCCACCACACACACTCACTCACTCGCCACATACACGTCACAACAAGCCGCGTTTGCCGCTATTCGCGCCGCACTGTTTGTTTTGGAGCTTTGTGAGGGAAGCTTGCCAGGTCAAAATGCGACGGCACTGAGGAAAAGAAAGCGTAGGGCCTCCGCCGCCGAAGAGCTCGGTATTTGCTTTCATTTGAATGTCACAAGGCCAATGTTTTTTTTTTTCCCCTTCCAGGGCTGGTTGCACCTGTGGAGCAATGGCCAACGACTGTTTGCATGAATGGGCTCGGTATTTGCTTTCATTTGAATGTCACAAGGCCAATGTTTCTTTTTTTTTTTTTCCTTCCAGGGCTGGCTGCACCTGTGGAGCAATGGCCCACGACTGTTCGCATTGTCTTGGGCAGGATCCGGCCTCGGTGCAGCTTTTGGACTTTTTGCCGATTGAACATGTCGCTGCACACCTTCCTCCTCCATTGAGACGTTTGTACGTATGGCATGGTCAGTGAAGCTTTTTCTTGAATTTCAAAGTGCTCACCAGAGAAAGGAGAGGCTGCCTGGGATGGAAGACGCCGGATTTGACAGCAGCACCATTTTGACGGTCCAATTTCCAATCACTGTGCAGTTTAAGACTCAACGTGGAGACTGTTGGCTTGAGACAAGGAGCCGGGGGGCCCAAGTCCGCAGGATGGGATGAACAAGGCCCACTGGGACCAAACACCGGCACTCCTGTTTTCTTTCCATTGAAATGGAAGAAATTCAGTGCCATCCGGGTCAGGATTTCCTGGCGACAGGATAAACGGACACAGGGAGACTCAAAGATGCGCTTGTCTGCAGACAAAGATGCTTCCAAAGACGTGTATGACAGCGGTCGCATTGGCTCTTCAGGTGAATCAATGCCATGCGCGCTTCAGAAGCAGCAAAGAAAAGTTTCACCCATTCCACTCGGCTGTTTGTTGTTGTCATGTAAACTTTTCACTTTGAGAGTACGGCATTGCTTCATCGGCCCACGTTTTCGGTTCCCCTTTGAACTGCTCCCAACGATGGGCTCACCAACAGCCTCATCATCGCATGCTAATTTCCATGATGGTTGAGTCGAGTGAGCCGGGAATGCATGGCGGGGGCGTAACGGGATGTAAAAAGTCCAGCTCCTCCGCTTCCCAGTGCCTTGTCCATGCCTCCTCTCTCTCTCTCTCTCTCTCTCTCTCTCTCTCTCACACACACACACACAAACACACACACTTGCTTTTGAAATAGTGCCCCAAATTGCAAACCTTGCTTACTCCCTCCTTTCAGCTTTCCCTGTTCCCAGTTCGGGCTCCTTTCACAAGGTCTCTATTGAAGCCAGGGAAAAGGCTCAGCAGAAGCAGGTGGTGGCTCTTTTCTCCCAAGGCGGGGAGGGGAGTGTGTGTGTGGGGGGGGAAGCTCTCTGCATGAGCGAGTCCCACTCCTCCGTCCCCCATTCAGTTGCACTCCGCTTTAGCCTCCCACTATTCACCGAGGCCCTATTTTGTCAGGAGCAAAGCAACCTGAGGTAAAAGGAGGGCTCGTCCGTCCCCCCGGCCGCCCCCTCGCCTTCTTTGTAGCGCACATCGCCATACAAGTGTTCCCAAAGCCTCTCTTAATGAGCAAGCCTCCGAGAGAGAAGCGGGTTTCTGGAAAAGAAGAGCTTTGATGAATATGGGCTCTCTTTTCCCACCGATGGAATATCCGTCTTTAGTCCGCTGGGTGGTTTTGTACCTCCTTTGGAATCAAGAGAGGAAGTGCATGAATGAAATAAAGCTTCTAGTGAACGTGCCGGTGTGCGCGCAGCAAACTATAGCCTTATTCAATCATTGCCGTTTTGCATTTCGGAGAAAATAGAAGTGGATGAATCCCGAAGGGAGGCGGTCTGAAATCTGTGAGTAAAAGACACGGACTGGGCCATCAAGTAGAGAGCATGCAATTATATGGCGATGGTTGTACTCATTCATAACAGGCTAAGAAACCTAAACAACACACGCCCAGAGAGGCACTCGATGCCCCTGCGGGCCGATTTTCCAATGCGCTTCTCCTCACGAGGGTCGCGGGCGTGCTGGAGCCGATCTACCCTGACAGCCAATCGCTGGGCACACGTAGATCCAACAACCACTCGCGCTCGCAATGGCACCTCGGGACAGTTGGGGGCGCCCTAACAACCTGCCACGCCTGTTTTAGGGATGACCGGAGAAAACCCACGCGGACACGGGGAGAACATGCAAACTCCACACGGGAAGGCCGGAGCCGGAATCCAACCCCGCACCTGTGCGCCGTGAGGCGGGCGTGCTAACCCGTCGACTGACGTGCCGCCTCCAGTTACTTCAGGGCGATGGAATTTTCCACCTCTGGCCTGCGTTGTCTTTGAGAGTCTTGCAGCCATTGAATTTGGACGTGTGAGCCACTCTCATTTTGCTGGCTAATGAAAGCACACGGGAGCTGTCGAAATGTGCGGTGACCGGGTGTAAGCCAACCACCAGAAACATTTCATTTCTTTCAAGTTCAACGTGAAACATTTGGCAGCGCAGTAGCTCGACATCACGCTCGACTGGAAGTACGGGCACTCGGGTGAGCAATTCGTCATGTTACGGTCAAGCCAACTCCTGCGTGAGCAAGCGTGAGAGACAAAGATAGCGAGTGATGCCTCCCTCGTCCGAATGCTTTCGCAGTAAAAACAGAGAGACAAAGAGTGCCGGCAGACAAAAACGGCGTTTGGCTGCCACAGATGTACAACACCGAGGTCACCTTTCAAAGAGTGAAATGGGGCACATTCCTCTCCTTACATGGAACACAAACAGTTCCAGGCCACCGCTTCTTTTATGAAATATTCTATTGACGAGGCTTGTTAAAACAAACACGGGCCAATATGCAGGAGTGGCCCGTCCGTGCACGGGCTCGCTGCTTCAACGTTGTCAGCGCGGCGTTGACACAAGTAAACACCTGCTGAAGAGACGTGGAAATTTACCGCCATTTTGGTCATACTTTCAACAATGCATACCTTCATCGAGGCTGACACCGCGGCTTAAAATGTTAGCATAACAGACTGGGCGAACACCTCGACCCACACCCACCACGTGATAGAACAGGTCCGGTTAGGGATGTGGAATGGCGCGTCTCTCAACACTTGCCACCGAGATACGAGTCTATACTTAAGACAGAAACTTGGCACGGAAAAGCTCGACTCGTGACGGAGAAGACGGCTGCATCTGAGATCACGCTTCCAGTTGGGAAGGACGGAAAAGAGTGACCCTGGGCAAATTCAGTGTTGAGACACCTGCAGATGTTGCCGTGCCACAACAATAGTTCTCATCTTAATATTATATTTTATATATATCGGGGAGCGTGCAATTGACAGAAAACCTTTCTGCTTCCCATTCGCGAAGCATCTCCACGCTGCCGCAACACCCGCGAGCCATCCAGTCCCGGTATGGCCAGTTGGCGGGCTTTCACGCCTCTCCAATTTTACAGTGGATGAATCGCCGCGGCAGATGGTTTGTTATGTTTGAAGATTGCAGAAAGACAAGCATGATGAATCAACCTCGAGGCCTTGCGCATCCATCAACCACTGACCCGACATCATGATGTCTGCCCGACTAAAAAGTGCGCACCTGAGTGGCGCACAACCTTTGACTTTCCACTGGAGACGTTGAAGAATTGTATCGTCTACTCCAGCGGCGAACACGCCACGACGGTCAGCATCAAAAACACGGACGAGGGTCTCCTCTCGTGCAGTCCTTCGCTCTTTTTACAGGGCACCGTCGTGGAAGACTCGCGTGCACTCGTCTCATCATTCACAATTTCACACAGGAACACAAAAGGCGGCGCGGTCCGCGAGTGGACAGCAGCTCTAAATTATGGCAGCAGATGTTGTTCATGCATTCCTTTCCATGTCAATTCTTTGCAGGGCTCACGAAGGTTACGCATGGGGGAACAATCACTTCAAGACGGCGCCGTGTGAAATGTCGGCAAATGGGTCACGCGGTTGTACAATGCTACCGGATTGGGCGACGAATTTCAGCTCCAAATGGCAACATCGGCACTTTTGGCGGCCTAGTGTATCTCGTGTATTTGGAGAGGACGGGGCTCCACTGCTGTTCCAGCCAGTGGCCCGCGGGATTCGTCCAGTTATTTTCTGCGCGAAGATATGGAAGGCAAGTCGCCCACCGAATGAATCGCACTAACCGTTGCCTTAAAATAGATCCCAAAGCACCTGATCCATCTGTTGTAGGCTCGTCAAAATACCGTATCAAGTAAATGTGGGACAGCTGGGTTGGGGGCCTCACCGCATGCCGCGTGTAAATATGGGAGAGGTCGACAAATTCGATGATTTCCAAACTGTAACTGAAAGAAAAAAAGAGTTTAGGGCGGCACGGTGGTGACCGGGGTATGGTTCCGGGCTCGGGCATTCCTGTGCGGAGTTTGCATGTTCTCCCCGTGTCCGCGTGGCTTTTCTGCGGGTACTCCGGTTTGCTTCCAAAAACATGCACGTCCGGTCACAGTCGTTTTCGTGGCGGGCCACTTTGGAGTGACGTCTTCCCTCGGAGGACAGTGACACAGAATAAATGTTTTATCGTCTCATCGTATTATTCCTTGTGCACAACAAATTGATGGATTGCTCGGTTTGACATTTCTCAAGTCAGCTGGTTGCGGTTTGCTCAATTACTGTTTAAGTCAGTGTAAACAGGGTAACAAATTGATTGGAAGATGTCAACGTTATTTATGACACGTGACAATTTGGCATTTCGGCACAGATTTTAACAAGGATCATGCAAGTTGACACACGTGATTTGCTTTTGCGGGCCACATAAAATGAAGTGGCGGGCCGGATCTGGCCCCCGGGCCTTGAGTTTGATGTCAGTTCTTGAAATTGTCCCCAGGTGTGATTGTGAGCGCGACTGATTGTTGGTCTATGTGGGCGGTTGAGGGGGTCCCCCGCCTACTGCCCGAAGTCAGCTGGGACGAAAGGCGTATTAGAAAATGGATGGATGGATGGATGCTTCCTTTCATACTCAAACATTAAAAAGGCATCGATCGCCACTTGTTCACACAGCGTCTTGAATTAGGAGCATTTTGGTGTCATTTGTATGAGCTGCGGGATTTTAGATGCTGTGTGAAAACAGTCACTGACAGCCTTAAATGAATGGTTTGAGACTGACAGTATGTTGGAGTCAAGGTTATTGTTTGAAGTTGCGGGTTGAGGGGAGTGAAGATCAAGACATGAGAATTTCGCTCAACGAAATGAATATCGAGTCATTCTTGACATACCGATGAAGTGGCGTTTTGCAGGGCCCCGTTGCCGAACCCGCTCGCTCTTGCGGGAGAGGCCTCACCTGCAACGTGAAACCCGCTTGGATTCTTTGGAAAAGGAACAAGAAGCCACACCACCAAAGTGCCTGCAGTGCTGCAGGTGCGGACGTCTGTGTGCCCGCAAGCGTGATTGATAGCCGTGAAATGTGGGACTTCTCCCAACACAAAACAATCACCCGCTCCTTCATGCCGTCAACCAAGCAAGGCAACATGTCAATGCCTGGTAAGACGCTCCGACAAAATATTTCTCTGCTAAACGGATTGAATTGCAGATGTGCATTTCTCAACGCAACAGTCGCTTTCTTCGAAAACAATTGCAATTGTTCGCTGAGCAGTGGGACAAGGGACCAGTACCTGCAAATTACAGTCACAGCGTATTAGTTGTTATAAAAATAAATGTTGTGGAGTGCACTTGAACTTGAACATACAATGGATCATCAGTCAGCGTGGCATGATAACACCCACAGCAATCGTCCTCGTTTCATGCGCTTGGTGCTGCAACTTTGAAGATGTATATCTTTTACGGTCGCCTCAACTAAAGCGTAATGATATTTTAAACCGGTTTTGTGATTATGGCTTGTTGTAAAGCGATTAGCTGGGCTGTCTGTGGCACTTGCGGCCCCTTTAAGAAAGAGCGAGAGTGAGTGAGGGCGGGGGTGGTGTAGCGGGGGGGCGGTGTTTGAGGTTTCACACCCCGTGGTGGGAAACATGGGCGGGCCTTGACACCGCTGACTGACAGCGGCTCGGCCGTGCATGGAGAACCCGAACGAACCAATGAAGGAAAGGCGTTTCGATTACGTCATTTGCTAATAGCCAATTGGAGTGAGCCAAAGGCGGCTCCTGGAATCACTGTTGTGCTTCCAACGTGGGACTCCACTAACCGACTCGAGGAGGAGGGAGGGGGTTAGAGGAAAAGTAAGCCAGAGGACAAAACTCGTAGTGGCGAACCGTACACGGTCAAAAGGAGGGGGACTCTTCTTTTTTTCCTGCTATTACTCGAATTGTTTCGTTTTGTGACTACAGCCTGCAGAAGACAAATTGCTGATCGGATTCTCTATCGGAGAGTTTGGAGGGGGCCCTTTCAAAGTTGGATTGAAACAGTCTAAGTGAGATTTCAACGCTCGGCTTGAGACTAACGCTGGAGTCGTTTTACCGTGGAAAAAGTTTTGGGCTCAACTTTTACTGCGAGCTGGACATTAAGCTACGTGCGCATCGGTCGTCGTTCAAGCGACGTTCACTTTGCAACCTGTTTGCTTGATAAAATGTTTCCAGTGAGCCTGGCGCTCTGTGCCCTTTAAACGTCTTTTTTTTTTGTGTTGGACGTTAGCAAACATACCGCACAAGTTGGTGGGCACGCAGAAAATGGAGCGTCAAATGTTACATCAACGCTGAAAATTTGTTAAATCAAATCGGTAGTGCAATATTGCTGTGTTGTTTTTTTTTTTTTTTTATCTGGCCAAACTGTGAATCACCTTTGATTCGACGCGCGCGTCGGACATCGAAAGAGAGAAAGTTGGACCTCCGTCCTAAATGACTTTTTCCATCAAACCACTTGTGTCTTTGGTATCGAGTGGCATTCAAAAGCAACTTGCAACATGCTTTAAAGTGCATCTTATCGTTCCGGCGCTGCACTAACATTCCCGTTCGCTGGTTCTGGGGGAGAACTCGGCGGCGGCGCTCTTGAAAGCTGGATACAAAATGGCGGCGTCCCCGGGACCTTTTGGACACGCTTTTCGTTGCGTTTTCTACTTGTTTTTTTCACTCCGACTTTTGAACAGTCACGGATCGACTTCCGAGTTGCAGTGTGCCCACAACTGTACCTGCGATGGCGATTCGGTGGACTGCAGTCATCTGGAGCAACCGGCACCGCCTGGAGACCTGCCCGCCAGGACCATTTCCTTGTAAGCGACTCGCTTAATTCTTCTTTTGAGTGACGTCACTCCCCTCGAAAGATTTGATTAGAACTTGAATTGCAACTGGCTGTCTGCTACTGGAAAAAGCGTTTGATCTTCTTTTCTGGTTGCTTTTGTACCAAGTTGCCTGCTTGAGTTCAGGTTTCACCTGCGGCAAAACACCTGTCAGCCAAGACTGTCATTTGCCATCAGTCCGCTGTTCCCTTTTGTTGTGCGAAGCGCATTCACTTCAGTTCAATCCGCGTTTCGCAAGAGGCCCAGGCGGTCGGGCGCAATGCCGGACCATATTTAGCACTGCTGTGGATGCATTGCATCATGTAGCGATGCTGTTTTATACAGACTGCCGTGCTCAGAATGAACACGCGACTGACGATGGCTGCAAAAGTCAGCTTTTCAAATGTATCCTTTTCAAAGTACGAGCCTTCAGTGAATATTGATGGCACTGAAGTGAAAAGATGACATGCGGTGATTTTTATTTTTTAACACGTTGTGTCAGCGGTTTTTAACAGATTCATCTTTCTCGCAAAGTTCACAAGAAGAAATACATGTGGTAAAATGCTGTGAAGATTTAAGCAGTACATGATCAATTCCTGTTATTATTGTTATTGCCTCTATTATTTACACTGTAGTTAAAAATCACCCCCTGGCATGGCGGTGGGTCTCCACTTCACAGTTCCGTGATCTTCCTGGCCAACTTAATGTCATCCGTCGGCGGAGGCCCGATTGCCTTTCCTTACACACGTACTTTGCGCGCTCGTATCGATCGCACGGACTCCAGCAAACGAGTTTGAAATGGCGCCGATTTGAAAGGGAACGAGACGAGCCGCTTTGAATCAACGTGGCTGCGTTTGAGCCCACGACGACGCATTGCGCTGGTTTTTAACCGCGCAGAGCTGCGTGCGTCTGCGACAATACCAAAACCCAGTCTGGCCCGCCCCTGCGCACATTGACATTGCGCCTCACACTCCACATGTACTCAGCATGAAAACGGAGCCCTTTGTCTCCTCCTCGCCAAGTGCAGCTTTTTTTCCCCAAGTCCCTCTTCAAAACATGAACAAGAACAATTGTATTTTGGCCACGCCTACGCTCCCACCACCACTGCCGCCGAAGTGCAGAGCCGCACGCGTCGATGGGGCAAACGGTGTGACGTCGCAGACGCATTTTGCTTCGCATAAGACGGTCGAGCGCGGTCTCTCTAAGTTTTGGGCAAAACGAGCCGCCGGATGGCCTTTACTGATTGTTTTCAACCACAAAGCTGCCTATCTCGATTGTCAGCCATTGGCGGGCAACGCAGAGAACGACTGCGACCCTGTAAGTCGCTGACTGGGCCATTCTGACATAACGAACCACAAAAGGCTCATTTCGGGATTTCGTCAAAGAAGCGCTTTTTATTTGCCAAAACGCAGTTCTCGCTAAGCGGCGACAACGACGAATCTTTACATCCTACGGTGGGCCAAAAGTTTGTTCATGGCGGTGAATTCAGAGTATCGGTGGTTCTGTGTACGCATCCACTCTTAGCGGCCTTCTAATGAACCGCTATGGAGAAAATCCCTCCGAGTCTTCTTCGTCACTTCCCCATCTCCACATCTGACAGGTGGGAGCACCACTCGGGCTTGTTCGCTCGTTGTATGCGATGGATGCTAGAATGGCAGTCAAGGCGGGTGTCCTGTCACGCGGCCACCTACTGTCTCTCGAGAGCGGCGCCCCATCGTCATTTTCGGCCACTGGGGTTGCGCCTCAAATAGCACTTTGCCCACAGCCATGACATTTTTCAAACGAAAAAAAGCGCTTTGACCGTGATTCCTAGCGACAAAGCGGCCGCGCGTTCTCTGTCTGACTCGCCGGCATGGCTCACGTGAGACTCCGCGCTTTAGTGGCGATTTGCAAAGCACAGGCTCGCGTTGGCCTTTTCGGTGCTCACGACTGAAATCAGCCGCAGCTCAACCAAAGCGTGCTCGCTCCAAAGCCAGCGGAAGCCACGCAAACCGCCGAGCGACGCAATGGAGCGCTTGTCAGGACACTCGGCGCTACAGACAGACAGACACTTTTTGTTCTTATTTTGCCTTCCCTTCAATTCTGTGCCTACCCTTGAGATTTGTCGATGAATCGATGTGAATGTTCTCACATCTGTGTCTGGATGTCAGAAAACAAGCGTGCCCTCGATGGCGTTGGAGGTCGTGTCAAAGTTAAGCAACTTTTCTTCAGAAGCCGTTCATTCCTTTGAGAGCAGAATTTGGAAAAATGCCCTTGGGTTTTTTTTGCTTGGTGCGTGTGCATCCGTGCGCACCCGCACAACAAGCACAAAGTGAATATGAAGGCAATTTCATCTCACTCTGAGCCGGCGAGGTCACGCCGCCGAGCCTTTCGCCCAATCGTGTCCGTTGTGTGTGCGCCAAAGCGGCAGCGCGCACGGTCTCGAGACGTGTGGCTCCACATCCCGCCTAGGAAAACTCAAGCTGAGTGATCTCATAGGCTTGAGCCGCAACACTTTGCTGCGTTACGTGGGGGCAAGCGGTGTTTCCAAACCACCACCTTCATTTCCTTCGCCGCTTGCTGTCAGGGGGGGGGTCCTACTCGGGTCCTCCTGGTTTCATGCGTTTCACCTTCTGTACACCAAGTGACATCAGATCGAGTCTAACGCCGTCGGTTGCCTTCAAATCTGTCAAGATTTGCAGTGGCGGGACGGCGAAATTGATCCCCAGAGTGCACTTGGGCGCCTCGGAGCGAATCAACGTGACGAGGCTGCCGCATGGAGTTGTCGCTTGTCAACTCGCACTTGTGGATACGCGGGTGGCTTTTACGCTTTCTCGCCGTCAAATGCCACCCGGGAGCTGCTGCTGCCTGGCCAGAACCCCGTCCACCCGCCATGACAGAGTTGGCCTCTGGATGTGCGCGGCCGTCTGGCGCACGGGGTCTGCTTTGACGACGTGGTTGACGACGCTCTGCATTTCAGGGCTTTTGTCTCCCGCCGGGGCTGAAAGAGGCTCGTCGCTGACGTCACTTGACACTCTGGCTGAGCAAAGTTCACAACGCGTTTGATGTACCGTACGAAAGGGGCAGGCAGGAGGAACGATGCGCCCACCGTCCGAGTCGGTCGCTTTTGCCACTCCCGTGTGCTGACTGAACGAGCGTCATGTCGTGTTATGACATCACCCCGGATTTCCTCTGGTCCCACAGCGCCCGTAAATAGGACGGCTGCGTTCTCCAAGTGTTTTTTTTTTTTTTATTAATTTTTTCCCCCTGTGTCAAATAAGCTGCAGGGTGCAGGCGCTGAGCTCCTTTTTTCTTTCTTTGTGCTCTGTCAGACTGGCCTCCGCTTCATTTATCGTTTTACTCTTGGAAAGATTTCTCAGCGGGCAAGTTTGACGCTAATGTTTTCGATTAGCCGCATTTCCTTCCAGCACTCGGGCCACTTAAAATGACAAATTGTGACCCCGCGCTCCGAGATGAGGCGCATCGTAACGAAGCGCCGCCACAAGTTATGAGTCACCGGCAATAACTTCAAGTTGGCAGACTTGTGGCTTTTAACTCCACAGGTATTGAATCAATAAAAAGTGTGATTCATTTCTTTTGATTTTTGCGGTGTGCGTCATTAAACGTTTGTCGATTTGATTGATCGTTGGCGCTTGTCACCTCGCACTTGTGGATACGCGGGTGGCTTTTACGCTTTCTCGCCGTCAAATGCCACCCGGGAGCTGCTGCTGCCTGGCCAGAACCCCGTCCACCCGCCATGACAGAGTTGGCCTCTGGATGTGCGCGGCCGTCTGGCGCACGGGGTCTGCTTTGACGACGTGGTTGACGACGCTCTGCATTTCAGGGCTTTTGTCTCCCGCCGGGGCTGAAAGAGGCTCGTCGCTGACGTCACTTGACACTCTGGCTGAGCAAAGTTCACAACGCGTTTGATGTACCGTACGAAAGGGGCAGGCAGGAGGAACGATGCGCCCACCGTCCGAGTCGGTCGCTTTTGCCACTCCCGTGTGCTGACTGAACGAGCGTCATGTCGTGTTATGACATCACCCCGGATTTCCTCTGGTCCCACAGCGCCCGTAAATCGGACGGCTGCGTTCTCCAAGTGTTTTTTTTTTTTTTATTAATTTTTTCCCCCTGTGTCAAATAAGCTGCAGGGTGCAGGCGCTGAGCTCCTTTTTTCTTTCTTTGTGCTCTGTCAGACTGGCCTCCGCTTCATTTATCGTTTTACTCTTGGAAAGATTTCTCAGCGGGCAAGTTTGACGCTAATGTTTTCGATTAGCCGCATTTCCTTCCAGCACTCGGGCCACTTAAAATGACAAATTGTGACCCCGCGCTCCGAGATGAGGCGCATCGTAACGAAGCGCCGCCACAAGTTATGAGTCACCGGCAATAACTTCAAGTTGGCAGACTTGTGGCTTTTAACTCCACAGGTATTGAATCAATAAAAAGTGTGATTCATTTCTTTTGATTTTTGCGGTGTGCGTCATTAAACGTTTGTCGATTTGATTGATCCCCGTCATCATGTCAAGTTGCTTCCATTTAAAGTTGAAAGCTGACATGGAAACATTCGAGTCAAACGGGACGGATGGAGACTTGAACGTCGACTGGACTTCTGATGCGACATTGGACACAAGTCCCGCAACCGTTTGTTGCCAGGGGCAAATGTCGTATCCTTTCCCAGCCCGTCGTACGCAACGGCATGGCATCTCTTTTTCTCAGCGGAGGCCTCCGATCTCGGCGCCGCAAATTCCTTTCGAAGCAATTGCCGGGCCACTATCAGAAAAGTGCCAATCGCGCTTGGTGCCGGATTCCCGTCTTTGCGTTCCACAGTGCGGGAGGCAAGGAGGGAAGCGGAAGGACCCTTATCGCCCGACAGTCGGTGTTGAATTGCCACAAACCTTATCTGATAGGTCAGATAATAATGCGGGCTGAATGAAACAAAGATATCGCTCTATCGGTTGAGCGTACGCCGTAGTTGGCTGAGGAAAGGGTGCGTGCACACCAATAGTGGACCGGTTTAGTTTGCCTGCTGTGGCCTTTAGAGCCCTTGTAGTAGTTTTTCCATATTTTGCGCCTGTGGCTGCCTTTTCTAAATACACACCACGGAGCAAGTTGGGGGATCGCCCCCAACCCCCTCACCCTCGACACTTGACTTTGCCAGAACGAGGTCATCGCCTCCTGTTGCGTTGCGGGGGATGACCGAGGGCGGCGGCCACACACGGACGGCTCCCCGTCAGGCCTGCGCCCGGAGGGCTGACGCACGCGCCTCTATTACCTCGTCACCTTCTCAAAAAAGGAGAAAGACACGTGGAGGGAAGCGCTCATGATGTGTCATCGAGCCCGGGAGGCACAAAAGCGAGAAAAACACCAATGCTAGGTTTGCATTCAACGGCGGAAAAAAGAAGCGTGTGTTGCGCAACAAGAAAAAAGTCTCTCGTTGGGAGCGATGGCTTGAATTGCAGATGCGCCGTATTTTCGAGAAGAAATTACGCACGTGCATTGAGTCTAATCCTGAATAACAGTCGCGACACCTTTGGCATTTTCCTCCCGCGACAGGATGAGGAATGTGTCGCGTCTGGCACGCGCGTCCCCAAACGAGAACTCTTTTCTTGGCGAGTCCGCGAAACCTTCCCGGTCTGAGCAGTAGGCCAGGATCTGAGGCAAAGGCAAACCCGGCCCTCACCGCGGCCGGCCGTCTGCCCGCAGGCTGTGGCGGGACAGCAAAGCGGGAGCCGTGTGCGTGTGTGTGTGCGCCAGCGCGAGATATTCTAGAAGCTGGACTTGTTTCTGCGTGAAATTAATTTGATGAATTTGGCATAGGAAGCCGAGTGGGGAAATGCAGAGGTTTGCCCTCGGGTGGCCGCCTGCCAATCTCAGGTCGGACTCAAGTGCAAATTGATTGTGCGGATGAATGGCCTGTTCGCTTTGTTTGCAGAGCGAGCACGGAAAGCGAGCGACTCCATTTGAGGCCATTGATTTTGACCGGCTTGTATTCCATCGGATGATTTGACACTTTGTTTTCACTTTGAAGGAACATCCTTGGCATATTAGGCAGACTCTTATTGTTCATCGGGCTCCTCGTTGTGCCGACTGAGAATGAATAAAGCAAATCAATGCGCCTCGTGTGCAAATTCATGAGCACCTTCCCTGTTTTGTTTTGTTTTCCAGAAATCTTGGCCACAGCAAGCTGACCGACATCAGTGGAGAAGTGTTTGCCAACCTGCCAAATTTACGAGAGTTGTCAGTATCCGTTCACACTAAACATTCAGTGTGTGTGTGTGTGTGTGTGTGTGCGTGTGCGTGTGCGTGTGCGTGTGTGTGTGTGTGTGTATCAAGTACAACTTGATTGTCAAATGTACTGTATCTTGCACATACAGCACAGATGACATTTCTTCCCTCTCAAGACAAAATACAACAAGAGGAGCCGCCGCGGGTGCCCGCGCCGCCATCAAAAGAAAAGTGAACATAAAATGACAAAATACAGTCGTACCTCGGTTTTCGACCATAATCCGTTCCAGAAGGCTGTTCGAAAAGCGATTTGTTCGAAAACCGAAACCACGCTCTTTAAAAAAAAAAAAAAAAAATCTTTATTGAACACGTCCGTTCACCATGGAACGCTGAACGAGGAAGCGTCACTTCCTCGTGTGAGGAAGGCGAGAGGAGTCAAGTGACGCATTCAAGTGCGCTCAGTTTGTTCGAGAACCGAAATTCGGTCGTCATCCGAGGCATAAAAAACTCGAAATTTTTGGTCGAAAACCGATTCGATCGAGAACAGAGATGTTCGAAAACCGAGGCTTGACTGTATGACAAACTCTATCACCGCAGCCTCCCGGAATGTGTGCCTGGTCAGCGCAAAAGACCCGCTTGGGTGATGAAGCCCGACCTACTCGTAGTCTTTGTGGCAGGGCATCATAAAAATGGCGACCTGTTGATTTAAAGAGCCAACTGCTTTGAAAGATCACGAAGAAATACTCCAAAGCTGGAAGAACCTGAGCCACTCCGCTGTTATCTCGGGAACAGATCGCAGAGAAAGTCAGTTGTATATTCCTTGTGTCCATCTCCACGTTTTCATGCCCCGGGTGGATTTGTTCCCACACATCCAGTTGGGACAGAGGACCGAGCGTGGCCGCCGCTTTTGGTGACGTTGGCGGATGGCGCTTGGTCGCAACTTCCTCGCGGGCGTTACCTTAAACGAAGCCCGAGTGAGGAAAATTGGCACTTTTCTATATTAAGCCTCCCCGCCGCCACCCGACACCGTAGCCGGCGCCGGCCTTGTAAATATTTGATCCGGCCAGGGGAGAACGTGGCTCCGTTTCACGCGCAAGACACATCCATGGAGGAAGGGAAGGCTCGGTTCCGCTCGTGACACGCTCGGTCGGGCCGGTCGCTCGCACGCTTCTCCTTCCGTTGCTTGTGTCTTGTTTTTTTTCGTGTATTCTCACTGACCGACGACCGTTGGCTTTGTGACTTTTCAGGCGGCTGGACCACAACGAGCTGACCTCCATCCCGGAATTAGGACAGGCGGCTTCCAAGATCGTGGCGCTCTACCTGTGAGTACGGCCGCCACTTCAAAGCCGTTGCCGGAACGAGCTGCCTCTCGGCGACGACGGTATTCTTAGGCCGCTGGCCTCTTTGAAATGCTCTTGAAATAGTCTGCCTGACATCTGTCAAGGATGCAAAGGCTTTGACCGGTCCGTTTTAGAACAGTGTCCGTATTGGACCATCTGCAAAAGTGCAATGTTACAGGATCGCCGCCACAACAACCAAAATCAGTCGCTCGATTTTCATGTCTTTGGGCTATCCTCGTAAGAGTGGAAAATGTCACGGTGTTTTGTCAGACGTCGTGGGCAGACTGCGCCGGTCGGTTTCTCGCGAGTGGCGGATGTGCGGGTGCGGGCGACCGCCTGCGTTGGCATCTCGCTGGAGATTTACAGCCCGATTTGGGAGGGGGGCGTGTCCACTCATACTCGTTCGTCCTCGTTCAAAGCGCGCGCCCCGCAGCCAGACAGCAATTTCAATGACGACGGCCGCACACTATATTTGACGCGGTGGCTTTTGGCCGTAGTCTTTGCAAAATTCAGCCCTGAACGCTTGTGCGTTTCGAATGTCCCGTGACTTTTCCATGTACATGACAACGGACCGGGAGCATTGCTCGATCGTTCCGAAAATTCCTTTTCTCGACACCTTGCTGGAGTGCGGGCTGCCTGCCTGATAGCCTGATGCATTTTTGTGGTCAGAGTCGTTTCCGCTTCATATAGGAAGAGAAGGACTCGAGGTTGTATCGCATGCAGCAATTTGACATCTTCCCAAAACGACCACAAAAGATGTTTTGGGCACTTTTGCGGTGCGTCCCGCAGACCTTCCTCTGTCATTTGAGGCCTTTGGCCTTTTGACACAAAATATCTAGCCATTCCAGATACTGCTTGTCCTCATGACAGAAAACCTTTTTTTCCGCCTGAATGACGCCCCTCCAAATAAGCGGGGGGTCTTTTTTTGGGCCTAACTGGAAGCCTGTTGCCAGGGAAGGGCGGCCCGGCGGTCTGACAGGAGAAGAGGCCAGAAGGGAGGGCGGAATATTTACCAAGCCACAGAGCTGAAGTGAAGGCCCGCCGAAGCAGCTGCAGCTGTCCGTCACGTAGCTTACGGTAAACTGGGTGATGGCGAGCCAGGGAGGAGGAAGGGTGGGGCGGGACGTCACCGCTTCGCGGAAGAGAAAGAGCGTCACCATCGAGGACGCCGCGGGGGCGGGGCGGCTCATGTTCGAAAAACAGAAGTTCAAAAAGAGAAATGAAAGTTGACGGCGTCCTCCGTCATATCAAAAGACCTCGTGTGCCCCCGTGCACAAATCCGATCCCAGTGAAGTTGGCACGTTGTGTTGAACATCAATTAAAATCTGAAGGCAATGACTCTCAAATCATGTTCCACCGATATTGAGCGGACGACATCACAAAGACGAGACAAGTGCAAACCGATCAACTTGAGCAAATAAGCACCGTCTCAGAATTTGATGGCCGCAGCGCGTTCCAAAAAACGCCGGCGGGACAGCTGGCAAAAGAGACTGAGGAATGCTCATCAAACACCCGTTTGGGAAAATCCCGCAGGTGAGCGACTAAACTGGCAACAATTGGATGCCACGGTGGGCTGGAAAAGGAGCTTCCCTGAATCGCTCCCAAGCATGGATGGGCCGAGGCGAACGATCCAACGCTTCTGGAGAAATCGCAGCATGGACGAGGCAAGGTCGAACGGCAACACCGCATGGCCGTGAACCTTGGATCGCTCGGGCGACACCGCATCAAAAGCCGACATCGGTGCGTCCAGGATATCGCCGCACGGGCTCAGGAACACGTCAGATAAAACGTCAGTAAATCCGGTCGGGCGCCCTCCACAACGCCAAGCAAAAGCTCATCAAAGAAGTGGAAAAATGTTCTGTGGTCTGACGAGTCCCCATTTCAAATCCTTTTGGGGATTTTCGAATATTTCGCTTTTCTCGTGATGGCCGCCGCCCCTTGCGAATGGATCTCCCGATTGCCCTCCAAGATGGCACTGTTGATGCCCGGCATCCATTCCGGGAATTGTCAAAATGGACTCATGGGCTCATGCTGAGCAGGTTTGGACTTCAGTCCCCCTGGCCATCCAAGGCCACCCCCGGGCACCTCTTTATCGGCGTCGTCATTGGCTGTATGGGAATTCTCGCCGCTGCTATTGTGTGTCGCCAACTTCAAACGCGTTGAGCGGCTCCCTCTCACGCACAGCTGGATTCTCGACCGAGGGAGGGAGTGAGTTAGGGTGCCCCCCCCCCCACTCCCTCCGCCCCGAGTTCTGAAACGGGAACTGGAACCAGCGCGAGAGGTCAATCTCTTCCACCGGTCTGAGGCTGCTCTGTTTTTCCCAGCAGAGGTCACCAGCTGTTGACCCTCCCTCACTCCTTAACTATCCTCTATTTTTCTCCTCCCCCCCGATCCGTCCCCCCAGGCGCTGCTCAATGTGGCCACTGTGTGTGAGTCTCTCTGTCTCGCGTGTACGCTTTGTTGTTTGTGGTTTGTGCGCTCGCAGGGTTCATCCTGAAGCATTTTCTGCCTGTGTTTATTCAGGTGGGCACTGTGGCGCGACCCACTCGTGCCCCCCCCCCCCCTCGCAAAATGGACCATGTATGTCCATCTGCTGGCCGAAGGCTAGAAAGGAAGGAGGGACCGACCTTGTTTGGACAGAGTTTGAGCGGTGGAGCGCCTGCTCTCCTCACCTTTCTTTGGCTCTTTGAACACGCGCGAGCCGCGCGATGTATCGAAACGAGTCGCGGCACTTCGCTGAGGCTTGTGGGTGGGAATGAAGATGGGATTCAGTGAACGCCTTCGGCCTTTGCGCGAGGCGCGTTTGGAAATATTCCTGTTGGGTGGGAAGGCCACTGTGCCTGGCCAACAGTCCGGGAGGTCGCCCGCCTCCAGTCTGAAGTCAACTGGGATGGGCGCACCGGCTCCGCAGCCACCCATAAGATTTGAATAGACTTTATTTCGACAGTCCAATCGTTCCAGGGCGCGAAGACCAGTTTGCGGCTGCCAAATGGCTCAACTCCACGCGGCGCAAATTAGAAAGCGTTGTCGGAAAGAGCGCTCGTACAACTTGACGTTGGTTGCAGGAAAGCAAATTCATCAAGCGCCTGTTTGGTTTCCGCCGTGAATGTGTCAGCTTGGCTCGGCGAAACATATCTTTTTGCCATTCCCCAGACACCATAACAAGATCCGCAGTATTGAGGGGATACGAATCCGAAGATTGGTTTCCTTGGAAACCTTGGACCTGAGCAATAATGACATCACTGAACTACGAGGACACTCCTTTCCTGCGGGACTCCGGATTCGAGATTTGTAAGTATTTGCGGGCAAGGACGGCGCTACGCCAGAGCAAAGGAGGGTGGTGGGGGGGGGGGTAGTCTGTGGGGCCCCTGTTTAGCCCCTCCAGCGTTTTACTAGATTTTGGGAACTATATTTATCAATGACCTTCTTTAGCCCCAGGAGAGGAAGAAAAAAAAAAAAAAAACAATCCCGGGACTGTGTTTGTGGGACATTGAAAGTGCTCATTAGAATGCGCCGAGACGAGCGACTCGTTGCTCCGTGCTAACATAGCACTTCCTGTTTTTCAAGCCATTGTTGCTCCACTCGACAAGGTTGATATGATACTCCAGGTTCGCGCAAGCAGAATGTGCGCATCGTGAGTGTGCAGCTGTGTTTGGGCGTCCGCAGGTACCTAAGCAACAACAAGATCGGCGCGTTAGAGCCGGGCGCGCTGGACCATCTGGGCTCCACGCTGCAGGTCCTGCGATTGGGCCGAAACCGGGTCAGTCAGATTCCCGTGAGGGCCTTCCAGCTCCCGAGGCTCACCCAGCTGTGAGTACCTTTTTGGATTGCCGTCAACGCGCCGTTGATTGCGCTCGCGCGGGTCTCTGTGCATCCTGACGCAGAGGAAATATTTCGACGGGTTTTGGAGGAGTCATGTCTCACCAATGTGCGCGCTTTCCCGAATGTTGTCCTTTCAAACGGTTGACCGTACCTCGAGGAGTCTGACCGAGCCAACGCAAACGGAGATTTATTTCTTGGGCATTTCATTCCTTCGAGTGGTCGGTTCATTGTCCGTATTGGCCTCGCCGACGTTCCTTCCCACCGAGGCCAAAGTTTCCAAGCCAAAGAGTCAAGGTGCTCTCGGGATTGAAGTCGAACCTGTTTTGGGCCCCATCCGCTCTCACGGGTGCTTTTTACCGACGAGGCAAACCGTGTGACCGCCAAAGAATAGGCCGGGTCGTTTCGCTCTGCACCTTCGAGGGCATTCGAAACACACACGTGGCAGGGGCAGAGCAACAAATGGCATTTTCTTCTCCGAAAAAACCGAACGGTAGCGATGTGGTTATTCTCGCGTTCGAGGAAATGTGTCGGTTTCTTTTGTCCATCTTTACGCGGCGCAGGATTCACAATGCGCGTTGTCAATCTCCTGCCATATTTTGTGTTTGTGCGCACCTGCAGCGAACTCAACAGGAATCGTATCCGTCAGGTGGAGGGCTTGACTTTCCAGGGTCTCTCCAGCTTGGAGGCGCTGAAGCTCCAACGGAATAGCATCGGCAAGCTGACGGACGGGGCTTTCTGGGACCTTGCCAAGATGAAAGTCCTGTACGTATCTGCGGGAAGACTTCAAAAGCGGTCGCTGCTTATTCACGTCGACGCTTTCTCACCGAGCGCAATTGAACCAGCCAAGGCACACGGCGGCCGACTAAGAATCCGAGCGATCCTCGATATGTCTCTCATCGGATTTTTTTTCCTTTTTTCCCAGTCCGACAATTGTGTCTCGGCGTTCACGTTCGTTCCTTCCAATGGCCGCCGTGCGCTAGTTCACACGGCAATGGCTAGACTTTTTTTTTTTTTTTTTTTTGTGACTTTTGAACTTTTGAAACGTACAGTTTGACATTGGACGGCGGCGCTCCGTTGCCGTCGATTCGTGATTGATCCGATCGATTGTTTCTCATACAGCCACCTGGAGCACAACAGCCTGAGCGAGGTGAACGGCGGCTCCCTGTATGGGCTGACTTCTCTTCAGCAGCTCTTCCTCAGTAACAACTCCATAACCCGCATCAATCCCGATGGCTGGAAGTTCTGCCAGAAGCTGAGAGTATTGTGAGTGCCCGCACCAAAATCACCGTCGAGTGCCGAATGCGCAAAGACACATTGATCGACTCGTTCAAGAACCGGGCGATCCGCTTGCACGGCATGACCGCTTGGAACCGACCGTCCGTTTTTCCTCAACTCGGGAGAGCCGGCCGGTGGCAGCCATTTGAGAGGCATTTCGACTCATTTCTGAAGGCCAACAGAAGGTTAAATGACATTGGGCTTGTTTGTGCACTCAACATGCTACACGACGCACCAAGGATCATCCTGTTTATCCCATAATTAGACCTGAGCTCAACAGCTTTGTAACGACCTGATATCTTTGCCATGTTGTGCAGCATTTCTTCCTCTGTGTGTGAGTGAGAGCTTTTGCTCGCCGTGTTGTGGTAATTCCACAGAAGGATCCCATTTGCCCCCATTGTCAAGCGAAGGACACGGTCTGACCCGAGAGCCTCCCCCGCGCTGTTGACACGACAAGTCATTTTGCCGCTATAAAGTGCTCTGCTCAGCCGAGGCGTTACTAAGTGCGAGCGAGGCTGCGGCAGAACGCGCCTGTTCATGTGGAACAGTCAGACAAGATTACGAGTCGGATGGCGCGGATGGAAGTTTGCCGTACCTATCTGAGGGCCATATCCCGTCAACGCGTCTCCGAATGATAGATTGCACGCCGGCTGTCCTCTTGGCGCTACACAAATCGGAAGCGACGGAGGTTTGGTCGAGTTGCGGCTTGTTCTTTATCAGGCGCCTGTTCTTGGTTGCGTCAGCGATGGGCCGGGCTGCGCTGTCAACAACGAGGCGCTCTTCGACGCTCTGCCGACGTGAGGCGGCGAAGGGTCAGAGGAAGGACAATAAAATGTTGCAACTTCCTTTGACAACTCTCAGAGCTCGTGCGAACTGTATTCCGCGAGGTTCCCTCTTGAGAGTCATCCGGCCATCTAGTTCAAGTTGACATTTTCCCTCAGACTTTAGCTGTGGGCGGCTAAACTTGATGGATCGGGTGTGTGTTCCGTCTACCTTGTCCAGCCCATCCGTAAACTTCATTTGAAATCCTCGGTAGGCCTCAATCAAGAAAGACTGTGTGTGGGTGTTTGCTGAAATATAGATGGCGGGCTGTAAAAGGTCGAACATGTGACGCTCAAGGTCGAGTAGCCAATAGACCTTGAACGGGCCGTGAAGCGGCAGTCCAATATTGCCTTGCCCACCTGTGTTCTATCAGCTCCTTCCATTCGTCACCCCCCCCCCC